AATAACTTGTGACTAAATTATTTTGAAACAAGCCATGCACGGCACAGTCCCTGTTATCAAATTTAAGATATATAGTTTTGTTTATAGTAGAATAGCTGGAATATAACCATGTCAGGAATATGATTTTTTAACATTAAAATGATTGACATTAACATGATGTATAACGAATATATAAAATTTGAATATAATCAGTAAAAGCATTTAAGAGAAGCCCAATCATTAAAACAAAATGGCCGCCACTCAGCCATTATGAATCAGGAACCTTCAGTTTGGACAAAATCCATCAATAAATGCAAGAAATGCTTGATATTTGAGCATTTTTTTAGCACAAAAATAGCCTCCATTTGGGCACTTTGAAAAGGATCGTCAAAACAATATATCCGTATATCTATGACATGATGTATAATGAATATTTATAATTTGAACATAATCAGTCAAAAAAAGTCGGAGATATGGATCTAGAAGCCCATTCATTAAAACAAAATGGCCACCAGTCCGCCATTTCGAATCTAATCTGAAAAAACAAAATTATTTGCATCAAGGTCCCATGTCTAATGTATATACCAAGTTTGAACAAAATTCATCTGTAACAGCCGAGAAATGCTTGATTTTTATGATTTTTTAGCACAAAAATGGCCGCCATTCGGCCATCTTGAATCAGATCGTAAAACAAAATAATGTGCATTAAGGTCCTATAATGTTTAACGTATATTCAAGGTTTGAACAAAATCCATCTGTAAACAGCGGGGAAATGCTTGATTTTGATGATTTTTTAGCACAAAAATGGCCACCATTCGGCCATTTTTAATAGAATCCTCAAACCAATATCTGTATATCTATGACATGATCTATAATGAATATTTAAAATTTGAACATAATCAGTCAAAGCAAGTCAGAGATATGGCACTAGAACTACATTCATTAAAACAAAATGGCCGCCAGTCGGCCATTTTGAATTTTATCTGAAAAACAAAATAATGTGCATCAAGGTCCTATAATGTCTAATAATGTATATACCAATTTTGAATAAAATCCATCTATAAACAGCTGAAAAATGCTTGATTTTGATGATTTTTAGCACAAAAATGGCCGAATCGTGAAACAGATTGACATGCATATGTATAATATTATGTATGATGTATGTGTGAAGTTTGATTGTGATTGGTCCAGGCATTTCTAAGATACATGTGCGGACGCACACACGCACGAACACACAGAGGTCAAAACATAGGACCCCATTTTCAGACTGCGTCCGAACGGGGACTAAAAAGTGCAGACAAATTGAGAGAGGTTCTTTATATACCGGAGTTCATTTAGTCAAAATGAAATTGGAGAAAACATCAGTTTTGTAATGAAAATACAGTTTTAAAATTTACTGACAATAATGATTTTTTTTACAGTTCTTTTTTGTAAGGATATGCAAACAAATTGGTAAACTTCCTATTATGGCGGTTTTAGAGGATAATCTACACTTGACTTGAATGTATCTGCAAACAACTTTGTTGTTGTAATGTTAATTGTAGAACAAAGGGACATCTTTCATACAAGACAAAGACATCGCGCTTGCTTGTTTTGAACTTTAGGCAAAGACACCGTAATTGCATGTTTTGGTAGACTGTAAAACATGCTCCAAATACAGTGCTTCACATACATTAAAATCTGATACTACCCAATACAGTAGTTGTCAAATGCTGCAAAATCTGGTATTTGTAGTGATACAAGAACTGCATGAAGCCCTTGTCCAACAGTTTTAAGTCTGCCAATCATGACATGGGTATCGTCTTGTTTGGTCGACCACATTTGTGCGTTTTTGAAATTGTTCTGACATTGTAACCAGCGATGTTTCAATTTCAAATACATAAGTGTGACTGCAGGTCACACTCAGTCTCAAAATCATGTGATCCTTGTCATATATGCTATGTTCACACAGCAGCATTCTATCGGAGCCGAACTACTGCTCCTCCCACCGATTAACAGGAGATTATCTCCAATGCGTTTACACGTTCGGGGTCGAACAAGAGCCGAGATCTGCCAGAGTTCAATTTAGTTTGATCAGAGCCAAACAGAACAGTGCCCTCAAATAATTAGTATGAAAAAAACATGGCACGGTGCTGTTGAGCTGGCAGAAAAGTCTGAGCATGGAGGAGGTACGATTTAGGTACTAGTAAATAAACAGGAAACACGGCAGCTAAAGCCTATTCGCTTAAGTTATTGTCATGCAAAAATCCCATTTGGCAATTGTCCAACTGTTGTGATATGTGTAACAGTTGCCAATCTAAACCCACTCGGAACACGCGTTACCGTACTGTGTCCGCTTCTACGATTTTTATCTTGGTGTCTTTCTGTTTTCCGTTGAGCTATCAATCTATAGCGATATTTATTTACTCTGGCAAATAGATATTAGGGAGCATATACCTCCTCGTCAAGCCAAAATCGTGCTATATTACATACGATCTTGTTTCCACCATAATTAAAATGTGAGGTTACTTGAAGAAGACGATTGAGGGCGTGATTTGGGCTCCAATAGTTGTTATCTGCTGTAATCTACAAACCACTAAGTTGAATTGAAAACAGTACAGCTAAGTCAAGAGATCCTGAGAGATATTTTCTTTATATCATTACACATTCTGTAACTTGCACTGATATATGGATAATTTGATTTATATTCAGAAGATGAAAACCAAAACAAACAAGAAAATTAAAATTAGTCACGATACAACAAATGCAATTTTGGGATGTACTTCTAAAAAGCAACCTGGATCGACTGAGCACAACTATTCGGAGGTTATTTGCTTCTAATACCGGAGATAATATAAGGTATTACAAAGATACCTTAAAGTATACATGCAGACAGTACATGGCAATGTCGACCAATGCGCAAAGAGAGGTTGATGCGACAGCGTACTGTCTGAGAACCTTATTATTATACATCTCTTCCTACATCATGGGAATGCTGAAATCCAAAAAGTTTAGAATAGAATCAGCGAACTTCTTTGTATGGAGTTCGGTTAAACCCTGGTCGCAGCCATGTTTGTTTTTATTATTAGAGGACGCTTACGTGCGTAATCATTCCATATTTGGAATTTGCATTTCCTAATATGGTAGGATGAAAATACCCCGTAAAATTACGGCATGCTGTAGCTTATGGCGTTATGGTGACAGGTGTATAATAATGCATGGTATTGCAAGAACGAGGGTTGATATTTTTTTGACATATCAACACTGCTTCAAGCAATACCCTACTTATCTTTGGTATTATCTATTTACGCCCACTTTATATTTGCAACTGTATCAGTAAAAAAATCATAAAAGTGACAAATTTGATGTGGGGATTACTGTCAAACAACATATGATTGGATTTTGTGAATTACAGTACCTACTCAAAATACCTGCGCACACACAGGAATTGAGTCCCAAGCGACGATAACAACACCCCTAAAAAGGCTCATGGGTGGACGCTTGTTTGTAAACAATGACACGTTATGGCCATCTTACGCATGCGCATGTGACAACTCCTCCGCTTTAAATATGAGTAAATTTGAATATGTATGTTAAATTTGCAAACAGCTTTGAATGCACACACAACTAGAATATCTACATTTAATAGGAAATGAAATTGCCCAAGTCTAATGAATGTCTAAAATAAACAAGTCGTCATTTTGATGACTCCAATTTTAGAATTTTTTTTTTTTTTTCTAAAACTTATATCGCGAGTCAGAACATAAGTTTTGTTGTCAAAATCAATAATGATCACATGCAATTACCACAAAGTGATCAACACAAGCAAGGTTACAAAAAAAAGAATTTTATCTGTGTATTCAAAGTTGGACTATGCCGGCTAAAAACATAACAGTGGGCAAAAGATACCGCAAAATATTACAGCAAATAAAACAACCCGACACCGTAGATATTACAAATGCTTATAAGATAATAGAAAAAATCTGTCAAATTGGTACTACACCATGCAATCAATCAATCAATCAATCAAGACACATTTGTCTATGCCTCAATTCTTTTCATGGTAATTTTAATCCAGCAAATTAATTTCCTATGAGCCTTACTATATTCCTGTTTATTCTATTCATGCACTTAAAAGGTTCAAATGTTTTCATGCATACATGTTAAAATTAAAACACTGTTTCACAGACAGCCTACTGGCCACCTTGAATAAGAATCCCCAACCCAGATGACATGAGCAAACATGTACAATGTACATGTATATAAAAACACATTTTGCCAAATCTGTGAAAAAAAATTAGATTTTTAAATTTTAGATTTTTAAATTTTACTAATTTGTGAAGAAAGCAATACTATGGTTTTAATTGAACTACATTGTACATGGTCTCAAAACAACATAATGTTTACAATAACAAAAATGTAGTTTTCATTTTCACAAATAAAATGGCTGCCAATCTGATACAATTATCTACATCATGACTTCAAGATGTGATCGCTACTACATCGAATTAGCTAAATAAATAATACACACAGCTAACAATATGGCATAAGCCTGTTTCATACTCAACACAGTAGTTAATGCATATTTCACTAGTCACTCAAAAGTTGAAAAGTTGGAAATATTTTCTGAGATTCACCCTTGGTTTGAATTACTACAGGTCGAAGGGAATTTGTAGACTCGCTGAAAGTATCATTGGAATTTGAACACTTAGTTCTACATGTGTATTAGTTCAACTATATTTGCTCAATTAAAAGCATACAATGTATCATCGAAATCATTAAAATTTGACTTATTTGGACCATAGAAAAACATTCTATCATTACTGTTACAGTAATAGTTACAAAACCCCAATAAGGTATTAGGAATGTTCTCAGAGTGCAAACTTAAGACATAGAAACAAACTCATATATTGCAAAAGAATATCTATTTTCATTTGATATGCTACAATATTATGTTATACTTACCTCCCATGAGTAATAAGGATCACATGTATCACTAACTTTCTTCTTTTCACCCTCATAAGGGCCAAACTGCGTCTCTGCCTTGATTTGATGTTTGGCCCATACTCCTACATTACAAAAAAAAAATAACACATTACGTGTACGGCATAGTAAAGTGATTAGTCATACACATGTATATTAATAAGTTAGTGATGTCGCTGGAAAGTTCAAAGGTGAATAATCTACCAGTAAGTGAATATATAACTTGGGTGAACTTATTTATTGATGAATTACAAAATTAATATATATCTGGTTTGCTTTACATTTTTTGGCAATGGTATAACCAAGGAGATATACCATCTTCAATAGATATAAAACTAATACCAGCTGTTATTGTGAGAATACCGTAGATCGGTATGCAGGTTGGTTGATGCAGCCAATGCATGTCTAGTGAATATTTGATGATATTCTCATAAAAACATCATTATTATTTATTATTATTATACTGATTAAAATGACTTTGGAAGATATCTTTCTGCAAAACAATGAACAGAATCGTAAACTATTTTGACCATAGCACAGCAGCAGCATTCATTGAGTAGTATTAATAGTAATTTTAGTAACACACACATGTATTCAAAGTGCCTGTGAAATGCCGTCCTCATGTTTCCAAGTTTTTAATTTGTGTTCCACTGAAAAGGAAAGTTACTGATTTTCTTGTTGAAAGTGATATATCTTGTGTTATAGCCACGCCCACCAAATGCCAAAATATGAGCCATAATCTTGCTCAATATATAATACTGCATCATTCAACAATACTACAGTGCATTAGCAATACATTTTTTCGTTGTTTTTTTTGGAAAATTTAGTTAAAGTTGTTTTCATGATGGTTAAATGTTGTATTGTTGGCAGCTATGAAATCAATGAAACATTGGGATGGACCCCCCTTATCCCGTCAGTAAGGTTCATTTTACTGAACTACTTTCCACTTTTATCAAAGAACTACTTAGATTTAATGACAAGTGCTGAAAACTTAGACCTGGGACAGTACTATTCCGCACCAGTCGATGTTCACCGATTTGAATCTTCACAACCCGGAATATCACTTTGTTTGTGTTATGCAAGAGGTAGCAATAATTTTGTAGTTATGCAAAACAGGAAATTATGGAGCACTTACACACTGCTAAGTGTTTTCACTTTCGCTGTTATTGAATTGTTTGGTGACTGGTAAGAGGTGACGACTCCACACCTCTGTGACCTTTTCTTGCAACTTGATCTGGTTTTCTTGCAACTTGGTCTGTTTTGCGACCAAGTCATTTTTTAATGACAATCACGCTAACTGGAATCGCACTGGGATGTTTTGTTAATGTGTTACTCTCAATTATTGTTGGTATCCAATCAAAGGCGACATTTCATGCACTTGTCCTCGTCATGACCCCAGGGTCAACTCGTACACCCATTTGACAGAATGTTGATTCATTGACACGCGACTTATTTTTTTTTATTATTTCTTCATTTCATTTATCGCTATAGTTCAGTTTTTAAAATGTTAAAATATTTTCTTTTTTTATTTTAATTTTGAATCTTTTTTTTGTGTTCAGACGATCAAATACATCAGTGTATAGACATACCCAGTAACCTGCTAAATAACAAGAAGGCGAGTCAGGCATCAAACTCGATTGTGACAAACTTGGAAAACATCAACAGACATAGAGATTGTGGATCGTAGTACCATGTTTGCGAATGTATGCATATGAGAAGCTAATGAAGAGCCGTTTTAAAATACATAAAATAAATACATAAAATTGGCATAGACTTAGTTTGAAACCAATTTTCATTTGCTTAGAAAACATAAAAAAATAATAATTTTGATGTACCAGCAAATGATTATGGGCCAGAAAGTAGCTGGAATTTCACAGGCACTTTAAAAATGATGATTACCCAATTGAGAACATACATGCACTTTTATTTCACACGGTATTTGTATAATTTGGTTTCTCAATCATCACTCAACCCCTCCCCCTCCGCGCTCTAAATACATATTATGTACAGCAGATATATTATATATTCCATACAGTATTTGCTCTGTATAGACACGTAACTCTAATAAAAATAGACAAACTAAACATTGCATTCACTGTACAGTGGATAATTAACATACCACTAATCTTGACAGTAGTTACATGTATATGTTACAGACAGTTAGCCATCTTGAATTGGTCAAAAATAAAGTTAGGTTCTAATGCATTATTAGTATACTTTCATACTGTCTGTGTGTGATCTTTCAATTGATCACTGCAAGTCGGGCATATCAAATCCAGTCACGGGATACGTAAGGTGCACTTGCAGCCCAAAATGTATTATTGCTGTCTTTTCTTGGAAACAGTTGCTTTTACAGGTAAATTTAAATTTAGGTTTTGGGGTTTATCCAAATTTTGATCACACCATTCCTCTTAAAGTGCCTGTGAAATGGCTGCTATTTTCACGCCTAAAATTATCAATTGATGCACAAATATTATTAATTTTTATGTTTCTAAGCATGAATTATTTTTTTAAGTGAAAAAATGTGTTTTAAACTCAGTCTACGGCAACTTTATTTTCGTGTATTTTAAAACGAGGCTCCTCATTAGCTTCTCATCTGCGTACAGAAATTCCCCTTGTGACGTCAGTAGCATGGCAGCTTGCATTGCCGATACGTGTAAATAAGGCAAATTTCTTGTGCAGTTTTCTCGTCTTTGACTATATTGTCACTTATGTACTTGTTCGTCGAAGAAGAATGGACCATAATGAACACATAGTATCAATTTTTGTTGCATGGGGTTGAGTTAGATGCGAAATATGTTCGTTCTAGTGTAGCTGGTCACCGTGATCGTCACCGATACCGGCGCACATTTGTACACTGTTGCTGGACAAAATAGAATTTGACGTCGGAATTATCTCGTTATTTAGCAGGTTACTAGGCACGTCACTACACTGTTTTATTTCATAGATCGTCTGAGTAAAACTTTCAAAATTAAAATAAAAGAGAACATATTTTGACATTCTAAACATTAGACTATAGTGATCACTATAAAATAATTGTAATCAAAGAAAGCTTAGAAAGAACTCCCATGTGCTGAGAGTATTGGAGACACATTAAATATAATTCAAAATTACTTAGCTGAAAACTAATTATGCAAATCAGAAAATTAATATGAACAGATTTGAGTGTAAAACTCATGAGGTCTGCGCAATGTAACAGAAAATCTGTTTCCAAGTTTAATTGAAATGTGATTAAAACCAAAAAATTATGAATTATTATGCTTATTAGGGAATTAATATGAACAGATTTTTACCCCAAACTAATTAGGTTTGTACATTGTCCTAGAGCATCTTTGTACTAAATTTCATAGAAATGGAATAATTAGTACTTTAGATATCAGTGTGAAAGCTTAAAATTGGTTAATTATGCAAATTAGGTAATTAATATGTACAGATTTTAACCCACAATTATCCAGGTCTGTCTATTGTCCTACAGCATCCATGTACATTCATTGATATGTGATGTTTAGTACCTAAGATATCAGTGTGAAAGTTGGTTAATTATGCAAATTAGGTGATTAATATGCACAAATTTTAACGGAAACTAATTGGGTCTGCATAATTCTAGATTCATTGAAATGTGACGATTAGTACTTTAGATATCAGTAAAAAAGCTGAAAATTAATTATGCAAATTAGTTAATTAATATGCACACTTATTTGCCCTAAAACTAATCAGGTGTCTGCATAGTCCTAAAGGATCTATGTACCAAGTTTCATTGAAATGCGATGATTAGTACTTGAGATACCCGTGGAAAAGCTGA